CAATGAAATGCTTTGAAAAAACGAAAAATAAAAAAGAATATATTGAAAAACCACTAGATTTTCCTAATCTTTTGAAAATGTTTATGAGGAAGTGCTGCTTCGGCCACGATGTTGAACGATACTCATAATAAAAAAAACCACCTTCTTCTCAAAATAACAATTCCTCCTTTCGAACGACTCCCCGTCAACTAGACTTGAGCCGTTGGATTCACCCGATGAAGATGTCCTTTCAAGATAAAATGTCGGTCTTTTTACGCACAGGTCCCTCTGTGAATTACTCTAAAACACTACTGGTTCTACTCATGAATTAAGAGGTTTTGCCTGCTAAGTTTATTTCTTACTAGACCGAATGATACCGGCGCCATGTAACAAAAAAAGTTAAATGGCAAAAATGCCAAAGTAATTAACAAAACGGCACAGAACACTAAAAGCACTTCAGACCGTCCAAACACAGGACCTGGAAAATAAAGTTAACAATATAGGTAACCTACACTGCCAGTACTCTTCCTGCCAGAATCGGGACCATCACTACCAAAACTTATAGCACTTGACCGTTTCGATGGTTGAAAAGGAAGGTAGGCTCCAACATCATCTAGACAATAAATCTCTGAGCTCCAACGAAAAAAAATACAATAAAAAACTTGTGAGTCATAATAAAAATTATTACCCTCTAAAGGGCGTTTAGGAGCATCTTCACATAATTTCTTCGATTGCCTGCCAGAAACTTCACGACTACAACAGGAAGTTTTACAAGTTTGAAACTCAATGCGGTAAAATACGTCAAGTGATATAGTTCCCAATGGAGTACACACGTTGCCAACATGGCAGTGTTTCTGTCCCTCGCCCAGTTCTATAACCGGGGGACCCTCTACAACCTAAAAATTGAAAAAAATCATTGTGAGTAAACAGACAAGATATCGTAAAAGAATAGAAAATTAGAAGCAAAAATTCTAATTCCCAATTAAATACCTGTGCCTTACACTAAAACATTTTAAAAAATTTTGGGAATTTAATACTTTCTAAAGAGAGAAAAGCAACTGACTTCTTTTAAAATGAATTATATAGTTGGAGAAATTCTGCTTTCCGTGCTAGTCTAGAATTGATACTTCCAAAATTAGTTTTAAAAAGCCAACCGAGCTTCCCTTTGGAAAAGAAAAGCAGAATTTCTAAAACTTTCTAGGCCACCTTAGTAAGAATAAAGAAATTTATTCAAGTAGGTCGACATTTTCCAAACATCAAAAAAAGCTAACAAACCTTAGGTTATTTGGACTATATTAATTTTAAAAAGATACGTAGAAACAGAATACGAAGTCTAAAAGCTTGAAGTTCTGTAGAGAAAACTTACTTTCAAAAGAAATCCATTTTACTCAGAAAAAACAATAAAAATAGGCAGTAGAAACATACAAAAATGAAATTAATAATAAAACAGCATGAACAAACTGACTCTGTAAAAAATAATGTGCCTCTCTGAATCCGGTTTCTTAACAAAATACCTAAACATCGGAGTTGCGCGTGCGGCTGCCATTGAAGCTTTCAGCAGATTTGCCACATCACAAGAGAATCTGTTTACATCAAAAGCTAAACAACAGTCATCATTTTGCTCCATCATATCAAAGCTACACATGATTTGATCGGCACCATCCGTGACAGACACACACCTGCAATGGAACATGCCCAAAAAATGTGAATTTGGTGAATAGTATTAGGTAAGTTAAAACACAGAGCATTCCCATAGAAATCGATTTGTATCCCTCGTAAACAAGTTTAATACAACTATAAAGCTGAAAGACATAATATAAAAAGGAAAATTTTAACTTTTTATTTTCACTAAAGAATGGTAGACCACCGGAAAGATTATTTTTCAAAACTCAATAAATTTCTGCTCTTCAAACCCATCATTTCCTAAACCACCTTGAATAAAAAAAAAATCGAGAGTTTCTAACCAAGACTCCATAGGTAGAAAGCAACCATCTATACACATTAAGAAGTCGATAGTGAAATCTCGAGACGACGGCGGGTAACTGAAACTGGCTCTGATACTGTTTTGTTGCTTTTATAACAGGTCCCAGTAACCAAAAAAAATTTCTTTCGCTGGGAAATTCAATAATTTTAACTCAAGGAAAAATCTAATATTTCTCAAAAAACAAAAAAAAAAAAAAATGCAAATGAGATTGTGAGAAAATAATACGCAACAGCACAGCGACTTTTAAGCTACCGAACGTAAAAAAAATTTTTTACTTTTGTATGTTCTCCTTTAAAAAGGAGGTAACTTCACTTAGTTCTTCGACGCACAGGCTAAAACAATTGTGTTGATCAAATGAAGGTGAGCACCTGGCGGATAAGCTCTTTCCATTTCGAGCCCAAACAAGTATATGTACTAGCCTAGAAGCAAAAAAAACTGATATATAACACAGTAAATGGTCCAAAAGTCAAGACCAGTGAAAAAACTAACTTTGATGAGAAAGCCTGACAAGTTTTTACAAAATAAGTGTAGCTCTTATCCATATAGCAACTTAATATCAAGTAAATATATTGCACCAATTGATCGAATACCTGAAATTCGAATTTAAACTGTAACAAAAATTCACAAAACCAAAGATAGATAAACCTAAAAAAAAAAAAAAATAAATAAAATAAACAACTACCTTCAAATACGATAAAAATTTGGTAGTGCAAATGTTCAAAGAAAATGAAAGCACAGAAAGAAGAAAGTAGTAAAAGTAAAAAAAAGCGTGAATTTTTTCAGACTACCGAGCGTAAGTTACTATTATTAACTAAAACTCCCTAACCACAGCTTCTGTATCAGCTCAACAGTAACTGCCTTCTCTGAAAAATATGCATTGCATCTTTAAATTACTGTCAAAAGCGCAAACAGCTCAGAGGCAAGAGAAACAGTAGGAGTAATCAGAAGCAAGCTAAGAAGTTGAATCGTTAATTTAAAACAGTTGGCAATAAAAAAGCAGTTCGAACGCTTAGACTTACTATCAATTCCATAAACGGATCCCGTTTGACGCTAATGTATGCACCGGTACCTAACTCATACAAAAATTCTAGAAATTTTTTTATAGGAACAATTTTGCTCACGCATCCACCAAAAATACACTTTTCCAGGCTAAAGACTAGTAGTTCACAGAAACGTCAATCAAGATCATATTATAAAAAACAAAACTTTCTGACCTGAGTAATCCAAATCCCCTGAAGTCTTTATTGGCAGAAATATAGACCGCTTAATGGAAGCTCTTATAAAACAGCTGGCTGTTTCCCCCAGCATTATACTAATACAGTTGTTCACTACTCATCCATTTTGTTATATTAGATAGAATCCTAATAATTCAATCCAACACAAGTTCCCCTGGTCTTCAGACACAGCTATCAGCTGAAAGCTTGATTCACCGCACCTAAAATTTCACAAAATAATTAAAAAGCAACGCAACCAATAACTGGGAGGTGAACAACAAGATAAACGAAAAAATCTGCTTTTCACTCTACTAAGCAATCTATAACTTGCAATACTAACAAGAGCAGCAATGGTCACTGTGAGGTAAAGGATGATTTCACTAATTCACGCTAGCTCCCCCTTTTCTCTTCCAAGTGGAGATGCTAGACGAGCACTTGC